TAGGCTGGCCACGGGGGGGGGGGGCGTTTCCATTTAGGGTTTAGGAGGTCCAGCTCATGCATGTTGTGTTTATGCAGGGTTCACGGATCGCCTTCTGCACCCACAGCCAGCCATTCTCCTGCGGAATTGGCTCCTGGGGGCTGCAGTGGCGGGATACGGTGCGGGTTTCAAGGGGCTCAATGCTTAGACTTAAGCTTGTTGCACCGAAGCCCTGTGCTCTGAATCCCACGATTGTCACGTCCAGCACGGCTTTATAAAGTTGGGATGCAGGCCTTGCAGCTGTCTGTATTGATTCCAAGCCCCTGCATGCTGGATCAACAAGCTGAATCCGCGTACATGCTGCGGGTGTCGGATTTAGGGCTTGACGGTGGATGGCGCGCGGATTGAGGGTGCAGGTCAGAGACCGAAGCAGTGTTGACTTGACTGCTCTCCAGACTGAGACCAACGAAGCAGAAGGTAGGCTACTGTAACTGCGGAAACAGCCGCTTTGACTGGAACCTGGGCTCCGAAGCATGAGCACTCTCCCCATCATCATCACCAACAACAGCATCGTCATCATCGTCATCATCGTCACCATCATCATCATCACCATCACCACCATCATCATCATCATCGGCATCATCGTCGTCGTCATCATTGCCTCGAAATTATTACCACACTTGAAACCACTGGTACTACGATCACCTGCATTTGGGCTTCAGCCTTGCCGCAGCCGAGGTTCTGGGCCCTTCTCCAGTGTCTCCCCGCGTGCTGTCACCTCTAGGCTTGCACGATTGATAAGTTTTGTGGGAAGTGTGGGCTTCCAAAAACTTGGGCTTGGTAGGAGTTTCATGGGGTTTTAAAGGCTGTTGGTAGCAGCTCCTAGGGATTTTGAACATTTGGAGTCCCCTTGTCTCGATCCTCGTGTTTTCGGGACCTCACATCTACCACCTCTGCATCTGAGCAAACCCACTCCTTTGCAAAGCCCGGCTGTATGAAGACCTGTTAGCACTTGCATAGCTTAGGGCTGAACGCCTTGGGGCGGCACAGGCTACCTCGGCCCGGAATCTCTGGCATTCGAGTTGCTTTCTGCTTCTGATTCGCGAAGAAGCTCCTGAACCCCAAGCCAAACCATCGACAACGACAACTCCCGAGCCGACCTTGTACACAGCCAGTGTCACGCTGCTCTCATCTGGTGAACGGCGCAATCTCATATGAATGGCCACTCGGGTACACAGGGTGCGCCTGACGAGAGCGGTGCCATCCGGGTTCAGGGAGTAGGGCTTCGGATGCAGGGTTTACGGTTTCAGATTACTGGAGCAGTTCAAGGTCTAATTGGAGTCTTCAGGCCGAAGGGAGTTGCATCCTGCTTGAAAGCCCTCCCGGGAAAGCTGCGACACTTCCTTACATGCCAACTCAAGTCCGACCTTATAAACTCTGCTCTGAAAATGCAACCCACGAGCCCCAAAGCATTCTCAAGAAGCCTTCGCGGCAGCAGTGGCAGCTTCGCCAATTGCTCGAGGATTGTCGACTTGCCAGCGCTCTCCTTGTGCTGTGCTGCGGCTTCTAGGAAATGTCCGGGAGGTACGAGCGCCGAGGTATCGGAACGGCTTGTCGTCCGTCTTGATGCCATGTAGGTTTATGTTGTTTGCTGGGTGAAACTGTGGCTATGGACATCGCCGAGGAGCATCGCCGACGACGATGATACGTGGAGGCCGAAATCCATCCAACACCTGATGCAATTACAGTAATCATCGCGGTTGCCCGGCTGCAGGTTGAAGCTGCATTCTGTAAGGAGGAGTTGGGCCATTGTTGCAGATTAGATGCAGGTGTCAGCTTCTTCTACCGAAATCCCTTGCTTTCATCCCGAAGCCCAGCCCGAACTGCTATGGCCATCATGCTCAAAGTCTCTACCCCACATCTGTAATGCGGAGACCGCCAACCTCCCAAGCCCTCCGCCCCCTAGGACAGCTCAGGGCCGATCCGTGGCCAGGAGCTCACGCAGCGCGTCGAGCTTTCGAAACGGATGGCCTTGGGGTTTATGGAGGTACTGTAGGGCTTTTTGGGGGACTTATAAGGGTTTCGGAATTTTTTGGGGACTTATAAGGGTTTCGGAATGAAGGGTTTTGAGATTAAGGGCTATCGGGTCTGTGAATGTAGGGTGGGAATCTGGGTTTTAATAGGGCCTTAGAACGTACGGTTTCTGTACGGGATTTGGGGTCGTCTGGCGTTTGCTTCAGGGTTTCTGGCAGTTTAGGCTTTGGTATTTTGCCCGAGGGCTGCTGCGTGCTTTTCCGATGTCCTCTAGACCCTAAGCCCTAAACCCTAGACCCTCAACAGCCCTAAAGATCTTCTTAGGCTCCTTGGCTTGTGATCTCCTGTTTTTCGGATGATTTCCCCGGGCTTTGGCATGGAACCTTCTCAATTCAGAGTTTAAGGTTTAGGGGTTTGGGGTCTGGAATGCCTGGTTCTTTCACCCGAGCGACGGCGTTAACTCAAACAGCCATAGACCCTCTAAGCCTGATCCCTGAACCCTAGAGCCCCCTAAACCCAAAACCCCAAAACCCTAAACCCCAAACCCCAAGGGGCCAACCCGACTAAAGCCCTGAATCTAATCCCCCAAAAGCCCCGAACCCGACGCCTCGGAAAGCCGACACTCCCCAATCTCGTATACCCTCAACCTGAGCCCGAGCCCGAATACCAGGACCCCCTAAGGGCCCTTTAACAGAGCCCTTATGGCTCCTAATAGAAGGTATTTAGGGTATATTAAAGGGTAGGTAGGGCGGTCTAGGTAATTACGGCTCTTTCTCCCTAAAAGTCCATGTGCCAAAATAGCTGGAGCAGTATATACCAAGGCCCGAAAGTACCCATGTAGGGCCTACTTTTAAGGCCAAGCGTAGGGTACATGGACTCTCAGGGTCTTAGGGTTCCTTGCTACTAAAACCTATAAACTTCAGTATACGCCTCAAAACCATTATGGCGCCTATATTTATTTATTTATTTATTTATTTATGTATTTATTTATTTACTTATATATATATATATATATATATCATTTCAAGCCGAGCAGCTCAAGCTTTGAGCCATGGTCGCTCCCAAAGGCCCTGCGAATTCCAGGTTTTGGGCTAAATTATCGGTATTTAAAAAGACTTCACCTGTTGTGATCCGGGTCTGAAGATTGATAAGGTTGAGGCAAAATGCCCACGAACCCAGTTTTGCAAACGAGTCCCCTTCCTTAGTCACGAGGCCCTTGTTACTACGGAGTAGTGCAAGTTTACGATCTATGTGAGCCTTGACCCAATGAATGCAGCCGTGCAAAAGTCACGCTGTGCAAGTGGCGGGTGAACTTCCCAGCTTCCGCATCGGAAGCTGGTTTCCTATTTTGCATTGTAAGGAGGTTACGTCAGAGGGCCCTGTCGCCTCCAAACTGTGAACTGCAATGGATCCGCATCAGACCACTCGACCTTTACGTTTGCAGACCCACAAAGGCGTATGTACAAGCTCAACTCAAACACCAGGACCTCGTAAACCCTGCATCGTGGAACCAAGCCGACACAAAGCGCCCTTGACGAGCCTGAGGACCACTCTTTCGCTGTGAGCTGCAGTATTCGGCCGCCTCTCCTCCAGACGTTCAGGGATTGGTGATTAAGGGATTAGGGTTTAGGCTTCAAGATTCAGGGTTTAGGATTTTTGGCTTCAAGATCCAAGGGGCTTACACTTCAAGGGCTTAGGTGTGTGGGGTTTCAGAGATTGGCGCCTGGAAACTTAGAGCTTGAGGTTTTGAATATGCGTTCTGCGCTCCTGGCATAGGAATCAAAAGTCAGGGTGCGCAGAGTTGTGAAATTGTGACTAGAAAGGTTAATCGCTGTTGGAACGTAATGAAATCATGCCTTGACAGTGCGTCCGAAGTTGTGGTGCGGAAGGTTCACCTCAGAACCTCTTCCATCTGAACCCAAATAGCCCAATATCCCTCAATTACAGTACGGAAGTTTTCCCTAAATCAGAATATGAGGCTTCTCATTCCGACTTGAAGATCACTCCCTTGAATATGCCGGGCTTGTTTTGCGTATCTGTTGTATGTAAGGCATATCCTTCAATTAAGGGCCAGAGAGCTCACGGGAAATATCAAGGCAAAACCCGGGCGGTCTTGTACTCAGCTCGCAGACCATGTGCATCCCAAAGTAGATCCACGGGAAAGGTCGGAGAGCTTGCTCCTAGGTTTCGGGGATTAAGAGTTCGTTCCGGGGTTCGGGTTTAGGGGACCAAAGAAGCAGAGTACGGGTCCTAGTGCTTGGTTCGTATAGCGTGATACAGGGATTCCACGAGACCTTGATTTTGAAGAGAGCCTCATGTTTATGCCGTCTTTTGCCCTCTCCCTACAAAGCTCTGCAGTAAGTTAGGCGAACCTAGAAATTCAACGGCCCGCAAAGGCTTTGGGAGGCTTCGGGACCTTGGGTGAGCTGCCGGCAACTAGTGCCTAGTGCTTAGCCTTGCTCATAAGCCTTGAAATCCCGGGATGCTAGCTCCAGGAAATGGAACTCCTGATAGCTGTCCTTCAACCCCGTTTGGGATGGCCAGTTCGAATTTGACAAGCGACCCTGGCATTATCCCGTGCCGGTTGCGGGTTCAGACTGAATTCATGCGCTTCTGCGTGCGATCATCACAGAGTGCGACAACCAAACACTTGCAATGCTTGGTGAGGGCAGCGAGGGTCTGTGCCCAGGAATCCCATCTGTGTTGGCATGTGCTTTGTCACTGGGACTTGCCGCCGACGACCAGCATGTTCAACCGAAGCTATCATCGTCGCGCTTCAAAACCGAAACCTCCAACTGTCGTTGAAGCCCTCTTCACAATACACACTCTGTGCCACCACCGCTATTTGCACCAGATGCAGGTAAGCGGCCACACAACATCAAGAACTTCTCGATTGCTGTCCTGGGAGGGTCACGGCGGCGTTCAGAGCAATTTCAAGGACTTCTTGCGCTCTGTTGGGTATCACACTCCCACTCTCAACCTCTAAACCCTAAACCCTAAACCCTAAACCCGAAACCGACAGTTCCTGACTAATGACAAAGACTAAGCACAAACCCTGCACAAAGCTCGAAGTCCAACAGTCAGGAACCCAAAAGGAGCCGAGTCACCGCAGCTTGTCATTCGGTCGCAAGTCTGCTGCCATGGGCCGGTCAGTCTGTGGAGACACCTGCTTCTGGAATTCACAAATGCATGTCATCTGTATCCCTTATCTAGATTAATGATATTTGTAGTCATAATAACAATAATCGTAGCACTCATAAGTGAGTAGTAATAACTTTCTGACAATAACCTGAGCTCTGAAGCTACAGCGCCAAGCTCTTCCATGCAAACCTTTCATACACAAGAAATCACCAAGGTATTTTCTACAGGCACCTTCTGCTTCTCCAGCCACTGGCGGATCTGCGCGCTTTCGTAGTTAAAGCCATCGGGGGCCGTGACGGGGTCCTGCACCAGAACCCTAAACCCTCATAAACATGTTGTCTTGGTCCCTTTGAGGCTTCTGGTGAATGGGTTTCGGCTGACAAGAATCGCACTTCATCACTAATCTCTACCAGTTATCATTATATGCATATTCCTATCATTAGTAGTGCCGAAATCCTTTTAGGGTATAATATATGGAACAATTGTCGCTGCAGCTGCTGCGACCACATTCCATCCTTCTCCCATCGGTTCCCCGCGAGACAGCCAGACTTAAAAGTCTTGGTGGAGCCTTCATCAGCTGGCCCGTGAGGGGGCACAGGAAATCTGCCATCTCGGGATGCTGCAAGGCCACCTGGACAAAGGTCGTCTTGAACAGCTTGGACGGTGAGGAAGGATTTGGGATTTGGGCCTGCTGGTCTGGAGCTTGCGGCACTTGAATTTGGGAGATGGACTTGCGAGTGTTGGGGAAGAAACAGGACTGGTACTGTAGCATTATAACCTTGCTAGGCGAAAGAACTACTTACTTGCATCGTCGGTATGCATTCGCAGTGGCAGTAATCGCAGCGCGGGAAACTCGAGTCCAAGCGAGAGTCAGGGCTCAGCGATAGCTTCGGAAACCCTGGCCGTTTACAGGCAGCCATGCTTTTCTTGGACAACATTTCGACCCTAAACCCGGGATGCTTGGAGTGGCAGGCCCTTGAAGCTAAACCCTAAACACTCAAGCCCCAAACCCTAAAATCCTAAACCCTAGACTCCCAAAGCCCTAAACCCTAAACCCTAGACTCCCAAAGCCCTAAAGCCTAAACCCTAAAACCCTAGACTCCCAAAGCCCTAAACCCTAAAGCCCTAAACTCCCAAAGCCCTAAAGAAAGCCTTTTGCCAGAACTCCTGGACTTGCGAGGCTTCCATGGCTGCAGGTCTGCGGTGCAGAGCGGCTCTGAAAGCTTCGAGAGAGGAGTGGCTGTGTCAAGGACCAGGTTTAAGGCTTGGGGTCTAGGTTTTATGGGGTTTCGGGTGTAAGCGTTTTATGGGGCGTAGCGTTCAGGACTTTGGTTTTGTGGGGCTTATGGGGTTTAGGGTTTAGGGTTAGGTTTCTTTTGGGACTCAGGGTTTAGGGTTTAGGTTTTTGGGAGGGTTATCGGTTTTCGCGCTTCGGGTTGGTTTAGGGTTTTGGTTTTCTGGGGGGGTTGAGGGTTCGGGGTTGAGGGTTCGGGGTTTTGGTGCTTGTGGGGTTTAGGTGTTTATGGGCTTACGTAGGGTTTGGGGCTTAGGGTTTAGGTTGTTGCGGGCTTTATGAGGTTTACGTTTTTGTATTTATGGTGTTTAGCGTTTAGGATTTTATGGTGTTTAGGCTTTTTATGGGGTTTATTGGGTTTAGGGTTTAGGGCTTATCGAGTTTAGGTTGTTATGGGGTTTAGGGTTTAGGTTTTTTGTGGGGTTGAGGGTGCAGGGTTTAGGTCTAGGCGTTTATGGGGTTTAGGGTTTAGGTTATTATGGGGCGTAAAGGGCTTAGGGTTTACGTTTTTATAGGGTTCAGGGTTTAGCGCTTAAGGTTTAGGATTTTATGGGATTTGTGTTGTTGTTTTTTCAATGGGGTTTAGGGTTTAGGGCTTGGGTTTTTATGCCGTTTAGGGTTCCAATTTTAGTCTATGTTGGTAAACATAATATCCTTCGAAGTTCAGCGGTATCAGGGCTCTCAGGGCTCCGACCTGCAACGTAGCGGGCTGTGTAGGGCTAAAGGAAGTCAAGGTTCAGGGCATCACAAATACTGCCTCTATCATCGTCACCACCCACACCATCGACCATCATCCCTAAACCCTAAACCCTAAACCCTAAACCCTAAACCCTAAACCCTAAACTTCATATTCCTCTGCTCGATGATTGTCTACTCTCGTGGGAACCCTTGAATGCTGCTTCATTTCGACGGATCAAGTTCAGCACTTGGGTGTACTTTCACTTCTTCCATGCGACTGTGAGCTTTGCATGGTTTCAGATTCAGGCTTTGGGCTTTAAGGTGCATGGCTTGCTTGCCACACTTAGCTCCTGACCATGGAAGCCTGCATGCTTTCAGGAAATAAGGCACTGGAGGTTTCAGGGTGGCAACGTAGTTTAACCACGACATCCACATTGACAGGGCATCTTCGTGCCCATCCCAGCTCCGAGCCTTCAATCTCAAGTCTGAGTCCTTTGAAAACCACACTCAATCCACAAGTTTCTCACACTTTTCACATCGTTGTCCTCATGATCGCGAACTTGCTCCAGAAGGGACTTCTATCAGTCCTAAACCGCATTGCCTCGACTGGTCTGGGCCGCTGCACAGGAAACTCGGCCAGATTTCTCTACACCCCTTTATAGTACTAGCCCAGGAGGGATTAAATACACAACCAGGCTCTTCAGACACCTTGAACGCTCTGAACTTTCGATTGTAAACCTCCAGCCGGAAGCCTCAAGGCTCATCTCCCAAAGCTCTCAGCTCAGCCCTCATTGCTGACCCGTCATCCCGGAGCCTTCAACTGCAATAATAACCTAAAACCCCCAAAATTCGGGGATCCTGTACCTTTTGAGTTTTAACGAGTAGAGCCGAGCTTTTCAAAAAGGCCTTTGTGCGATGAGGGGTGCCGTACGGAATTCTATGGGGAGCTGAAAGCGGATCAATGCTAAAAATGTGGATAGTTCTCTAAATTAGGGTCGCGTTTTTGGATCCCCTGTATGGAGCAGCACCCTTACACAAAACACCCCTGAAAGCCACCGTAGTTTACAGAACTACCCATATTGATTGTGGCTTCGAACCTAAGCCTTGGGCCATCTCGGGACCTTTAGATACCGCGACGATGAGGTGCAGCGAACCCGATGACGTGCAAGGCGCTTCCGGCAGGATCCAGGAAGGGGATCGAGGTTCAGGACGGTTTAGGATGGATGATTTCGGATTTAAGCTTGCTGAGATATGACTAAATGCGCAACAGCATGTCAAGTGCTAAGGGGTATTGGGACCTTCTTCCTGGACCCCTACCCATCTCTAACATGGAATGGCATCCATGACTAAAGCTTACTGGCCGCTAGCCAGCAGTGAGGAAGGCAAGGCCATCCTGGTCTTGCCGAACCCCTAATACTAAAATCTTCGACCGAAGAGGCCCGCCGGGCTTTCACTCATGGAAACTGCGCTAATGACAACAACAAGTATTGTACAAAACGACTAAAGTTACAGTGCAAATAAACACGAATACCAAGAATTATGTGGAATCCAACCTTTTCATGATGGGAATGGGGATTCGACTTCTGTTCCTCAGCCGCCGCTCCGGTCAAAGGTGGTCTCGTTCTCTTTGCATCGTCGGGCCGGAACAAAAAAGCGATGACTCCGATTTGATGGTGCTTAGGAAGCTCTGGCATAAGAAGGTTGTGCTGCAGCCTTGCTTCAGCATATTCCTCAAAGGGGAAGTAGTCTTAACATCCTAAAACCCCAATGCTGCACAACAGACAAGCCCGTTGCAAACTGTGTGGGCTCGTGCTCAAGACCATGCCGAAGTCCTACTCTGGGCACAGTCTTGAAATTTGGGGCTCGTGCCCAGTGATGCATCCAAGGACAAAGCTGGGTCTCTTCTAGACCCTGTCCGTGTTGGCAGCCCACTTGCTGCCAGCATTTTGCCGGCTGTTTTGCCGGGCATGACAGTTGCCGGCCCTTGATTTGCAGTGAACGGTTTCTCGAATTAGATATAGAAAAACATGCGCACAACTTGACAAGCACTGGCATGCCTGTGCAGCACTCAGACTGGCCGGCTTCAGATTTCTGAAAAGCTGTGCAAGAGCTAAGAGTTTCTCTAAGCGCACACAAAGATGTTAATCCTGCAAGTTTAAGTGCTGCACGGACTGGTGCTTCACAGAAGGTAGCACCGAGAAGGAAGTGAGTGAGTGGACTTCGGATGTCGGCCGAGCACGACGTACTACATCGAGTCGACCGATATTCCTGACAGGCGCTGGTGTTATCCCACATTTGGGTTCCCGTACATGTACAAATTTTATGTTATGTCTTGGGAAAGAGGGTCCAAGATGTATTGCACATGAGAAAATCGCCCACATCTTGACATCGTTTTGCGGCTTTCGGACGGAAGCAGTCTCCATGACTAGAAAGACTCACGAAATCCTGGGACAGATGTGATGCTAGTTCATCTCTCCCATGCAGCATATGCCCCGAACTCTTAAACCCCAAAGTCGTGCATCTTGTATCGTAACCCCATGACCCATACCTCGTGCTTCCGAGATCGGCTGGAGGGGTAGAGTCTGTGTGAAATTCGAGGACCTAGCAGCATAGTCAGCATAGCGATCTCGAACCTCGTGGGGGTGTAGGATTTGGGGCTTAGGCTTTAAGAGTCGGGGTTTAGGGCTCTGGAGGTCTGTAGAGCAAAAAGCTTGAAGACTGCTGAGCTCTACAGAACATTAACAGCAAAAGAACCCGATCGACAGGGAACCTGCTTTCTGCATGTTCTCCTTCTTCACATTGATCGTGCGACTGCCTCCATTCATGAGCTGAAGACACTACAAGCGACTGAACTCTGCTTGATGGTTCTCTTCCGGACATGTTTGTTAGACAGGTGTAGCTAACAATGACGATCAGAAACCCTCAACTCCGACACTGAAAGATCCAACCCCCCCAACTCCAACCACGCAAACCCTTGCTTTCCGACGAATTCGTGGGCCCATGTCGCTTCATCGGTCCCCAAGCTCTATATGCTCAACAGCGACGTTCCTCATCGACCAACAAAAAACACCACATCCAGCACCTGGCAAACCCCCACAAGCCCTACATCCCACGCCCCATCACCCAAAATCACAACCCCCCTCCCCGGCTCCCCATAAATAGGGCCATACGCAAAACATCGGATAGGGATATCCCATATAAGCCCCCTTATACTGAAGCCCAATAAGGTAGGGATATCCTTGTAAAATGCTTATGCTTCTATCCTCTTGGGCCCCTGAATAAAAACCTCAAGGTCTAAAAGGGAAGGCCTCCGTCAATCTCCACACGATAGTGGCCCTCTGTGGCGGCCTTCGATGCTGGAAATTTGACCATGCAGTTGTTTAGAGATTTCGGGGCTTTGGCTTGCAGCTCTACAGGAGCCCCTGAACAAGCTACCCCTTCTGTTGAGAAGCACCAACCTTATAAACCGTTTAGGGACCCGGCATCAACTTTCAGTGCCAAGCAGAGTTAAAGTTACAGTTGAAGGAGATCGAGGCCTTCAGGACTCTTTGGCTTGGAGGGCAAAGGCCCACCGCTGATGTCATAAAGCAGAAAAGCGCGAAGATCTCAGGAAACTAGACGCCACTAGACTCCAGGACTTTGTCGGGAGGACGTCTCTGGGATTGGAGGCTTTAAGTACGGTATTCGGCGATGCTGCAATGGGGAATTGGACATAAGGTTTACTGTGAGGTGCTGCGAGGCTGACAGGGTTTAGGGTTTAGGGTTTAGGGTTTAAGGTTTAGGGTTTAGGGTTAATATGATGGAGAGTCTGGTAGTTCTCTGACCTCGGTTCTCCCAGAGTCCCAATCGCTGCAACTCTACGTCCCAGGACATGTCGTTAGAGAATAGGGTCGGGCTAAACAACATATGACAACACAGTTCGGACTTGCCTTGAACCTGGAAGTATGCAGCATGAAATCTGCATGCTCTTGGGCACTGAGGGGTTTCGGGGGTTGGGTCCTGCGGGCTCCATAGGTATATTTTTCATTGCTTTCTGTTCGTCGAGCTTTCAAAAAATTAATTTTGCCAAGTAGGTGCTCTCGATTTCGTCTGCTTTTCAGCATCCATGCAGCTAATTACATGGATCTGATGCTATGATAACTTCAACCCATATCCGCATTCTTGGAAATGCTTGCTCTTGATGAATTACGATGCTGCAATAGGCACGGCTGTCTGCATAAATCATCTCTCACGCTAGTCTTCATGGAGGAACCGCTTCTCCCAAACGCTCAGAGTGAGAAACAGGCAGCCTGGTCCAGTACTTTGCCATGTTTGCCGTTGTGCTCAGGGAACTTCTGGTGACCTCTGCAGATCTTTTGTACGTCTTGTCAGAATATGTCGCGTGCGCCTTTACAACCCTTGAGAATCCCTACACACCTCGAACCCAAGCCCCGTTATGCTATCGGTGCAGTTTTGAGCTTTATACTACACTCTCAGCACGTTTAGGAGTTAGGGACCCTCAGAATCAACGCCCGCAGGCCCCTGACATCTTGAGGATACCTAGCATACTAATCCCTATAGTAGAGCCTTTAGCGGCTCATAGACTTCTTAAATTAACCCTTATAAAAGCTTCGAAGGCAATGGGGTTCCGGCCCTCGGTAAATCGGAGTTTGAAGCTTGGGGCCCATCTCTGCCGTATGTTTGTTGAGGGGTCAGGGTTTGGAGTTGAGGGCATTAGGTTTTGGCGCCTGGGGTTTAGGATCGCTGGCTGAGGGAATGAGGATTACGGTTCAGGGCTTCAGGTGTAGATTCCGGCTTATGGTTTAGGACATGCGGCTTTAGGTCTAGGATGTTCAGTTAGGCTTTACGGCTTGCGGTTCACACGTCTGGGGTGCAGAAATGAAGTTGTAATTTCGGGTTTTATAAGCCTTCTGGAGCCTCTTAGACTCCAGACGTACCCACTTAAAATTCTCAAAATCTCTCTTTGTTCAGTGTTGACCCGAGCTTGGGATGAAAGTTTCCGTGTTTTGCCTTTTCTTACGGGTAAAGGGGTGCCGAGTAGGCATGGCGCTCTTGCAGAGACCACGCTGCACTTGACATGTCATTGTCCATCCTGCGAGTGTCAATGTGTGCCAATCCTGGATCGTAAAGTGTTTCATTGAAGCCGTGTCAGCAAAAGTCGAGGTCCGTGCCAACCACCACCACTTCTTGCCCAGGTGGGAAGTCCTGTAGCTGCAATTGTGCAAAGTTCCATCTGTTTTATGGCATGGCTCAGTGCCGTCACAAGAATCGCAACTTTCGGACCACATGAATTGCGCCAAGGCACGGTGCGACACTGTGCTGACAAGTTACATGAACGTCGGTGGGGAGAGCAAGTATAAAGTCATTCCAAGACGTGGATCGAGACATGAGACTGACGGCCCTCCAACACGAAACACTTAAATGACACCCTGAATCCTCAACCCTAAACCCCCAAACCCCCAACCCTACACCCAAAACCCTAAACCCCCAACCCTGAGCCCTAAACCCTAAACCCTACACCCTAAACCCTAAACCCCCTCTCCCCTTTGCCCTTTTTTGTCTCCTCCACGTACTCCACAGCGCTCAAGGGAGCCCAAAGCGTCCTAGGAGTTCCGAGGTTTTGGAACTTGTTTACGGTGTGCAAGGGCTTTATGAAGAGCCTATAGTAGGATCCTTTATAAGACGCTTATAGGGTCTTACAAGGAGTTGAGGGCTTCATGAAGAATTGTGCGGGTTTCCTACAGTCTTAGGGCTCAGACCTGAGGTTTGAGAGCTGTTGCGAAGGTGGCCTTGGTAATGGGTTTAGGGTTTAGGGTTTAGGGTTTAGGGTTTAGGGTTTAGGGTATTGCTTTGCATCTTCTACTGGAATCTTTTTCTTCCGGGGAGATGAGCTGCTGATCTGGGACTTCAAACAACCTACATGGAAGCACCACTGACGGGATACCCTTACTCCTCAATCATCCCTCTATCCCTCTGTCTCTTTATCTGTCTTTCTGTCTCGCTCTCTCCACTATCACCACTGTCTATACTGTACTCGCACATAACGACAAACCTTCAAGCATTCGAACTGCCGTAGAAGCGGAGCTTCTGCCATTTCGTGGTGCAAAACCAGTCCCCTCGCACTTCGTGGATCGTTTCCACCTCGTTGCGGAACCCCGGGTGTGCTGACTCAGAGTAATGTAGCGGCCTTAATAATTAGAATAGGGTATTGGGTATGCTATACTGTAGTTCCAAGAAGGAACCACCAAAACAGTATTGGTTATTATTTCGGTTTCGGCCCCTATATTAAGTAGGTCTCTGTCAAACCTTTTGCAAGCAACGCTGCACAGTTTTTGTTGAGATCGTAGCCATGCAATCTACAGCGCAAGGTGGGTTCCCTCTTGTGGGCCCCGTTCAAAACTGAGCTGCGGCGGTCCCAACATGCTGATCTCTGAAAGGCCCTCACTTGGCTTTAAATTCATTTCCTGACTCGTTTGATCCCTGTACTTCTATACCCCACCTGTCCCTCGCTGAAGGCCAAAGGAGTTCCCGGCATGCCCGACCAATCTGCAACATGGTCGGAGTCTCTCGCAAACTTCACGCGATCACCTCGACGGCAGGGGGAGGCTTCTAGGATGTGGGGCTTGGTGTTTGGAGTCTTGCGACTTCTGCAAAGCAAAGAAGACTGCCGTAGTTGTCTTCAGCTCCAGAAGGTGCCAGGCTTTGGGGCTCTTACTCTGAGTGTCATGTGACATGACAAGGTTGAGGGCGCGTGACTTCGCATTTTGAGTCGTATCCGACGGGCATTCGAGGAAGCTTTGCCTTCAGTTGCATTGCCAAGACTTTGCAGTTGTAGCTACCGAAGTTCAAGCGAAACTACCCACATAACCCGAGAACACTCCCGGGACTCACCCGTCTCAGCCCCCTTGAAACCCGTGCCTCTTCCTTCTCTGTTGTCAACCGCTGTAAGTGCTGGGCGATAAACATGCTTAGCCCAGGGTCCAAAGCCCTAGCATCTGAGGCTCTGACACCCAAACCAAGGGCTCCGAAGCTGCGTCAACACACGAACAGACATGGCAAGGATAGATGTAGTACGGCTCTTGTTAAAGTTCCTCTTCTGGGGACCAAACCGAACCCTAAACGGCCTGCTTTAGAGCTGGAAGAATCCCCATGCTTCACCTGCCACGAGGAGACTTTCGAGGGCGGGTCTTCGAGAAGACACTCGTAGGTTGTGATCTCATCAACGTCACTCTAGGGTTGGGTTTAGTGTTTAGGGGAAGTACATGCTTACGCAATGTGTTGGGGTTCGGGTTGAAGGTCTGTCTTTCTGAGTCTATGGTTGAGAACGTCGGGTAAAATTGAGGGCTGTTGCCATAAGGGGCGACTCCTCGGTCCGGGGTACCAAGTGGAAAAAGGAAGCTTTTCTAGCCCTTTGGAATTCCTGACAGGAACGTTCCACCTTGGAGCCCGTATCCGTGCATGGTTTCCGTTCGTTCTTTGGTTGTTGTTGTCGGACACCTCGATGTGAATCCTATCGCCAGGAATCTGATTCAATCAAGCCTTCGTCTTTTTGGTGCGAAAGATATGCGGTAGCATTGGGCTCCCAGAGGTCGTCAGGACGAATGCCCGTAAACAAGACTTAGCCCTAAACCCTAAACCCCTAAACCCTAAACAGTTGGACTTTTGGTACCGGCCTTCGGGGCAGGGACGTCCGCCGGCTCCGACGCTGTGAGAGGAGCCTTCGGAGAACTCAAAGTCCCACAAACCCCCGAGAGGAGCCAAAAACGCAGAGCCTCTTAATTGGAACGCTGCACTGCACTGCGTTTGGATCTTCCCGTTTCTGGGGCCCCGGTTGAGGATTCAGGGTTTAGGGTTTAGGGTTAGGGTTTAGGGTAGGGCTGAGCGAATGAGGACTGAGAAACACTCGGCTATGAGCACCCGAAGGGCCAACACCTAAAGCTGCCGGCAAGACGAATATAGGAGCCTGAATAATTAAAATACGGTTGGCTCTTAAGGAGGCTCTTCAGAAGTCCCTAATGGAGAGGCTCCGTAGGGCGCCTTCATAGAATTGTCGTATTTACAAAAACACCGCAAAAGCCCCACTCTAATCTTCAAGGCCCAGATATTCTACCAGTGGCTTGGGGCAGACTGGCCTCGGGGACCAGCTTGCCCACCACTGGCGACACAGGCTGCGATGGCGACGCTGCGGTTGCATCTGCATCTGGAATCGCTTCCTGTACAGACAGCGCAACTTGCATATGTTGTATACATCATATGTAAACATGAAGAAGAGTGTGTTGAACCATAGCATATGCATGTATGCATCTATAAGTGGCTTATCATGTCGAAATGTACATGGGCGATTATATATATATATATATACATACATACATACACATATATTACACATGCATGCAGCATAAATGGTATAGGTAATACAGCAAAATCTAGCCAAACGTAATATAGCATGGTATAGTACGGCAGAGTTTAAAACAGCAAAATACGGTGTGAAAACTATCCTATGATAAGATGCACCTTAGCATAGTGCATTTTTCATCATGATATCAGAAATTGAATTCAAAGACATCTCAATATAGTATAATATGGTGCAATAAAACCTTAAAGTTTAATCCAGTCTAATATCGGGCATGTCGACTCGGCTATAAATTGATTACATGATGTGTGTTGTATATTCTCATTGTGAATACAATATATGCATTTCAGTATGTCTACACACACACACGCACATATATATATATATATATACACACACAGGAGAATATATGTGTACGTCTGTATATACAAGCTGTGTATACATAGGTAGATAGATAGATAGATAGATAGATAGATAGATAGATAAACAGATAGTTAGAATGACACGGACTGTAGAGCTTTTTAGAACATGTAGACGACATAGAAAATATGCCTCAGACATGTCAGAACGGAGCACCGGAGGGAGGCGGCTTATGCCGAGGATGGGCTGCTTACCTCTGCTTACCTCCAATGCAGACTTCCGGCGAGCACTGCAGGGCAAAAACCCAAGTTGTTTTGCATTGGCACTTGACTATGCCTTGCTGGTTCAGTGCAGGATGTGGATCGATTGAACAAGTCGTGCCGGATAAAGTAATGCAGGTTACTTCTGTGCATTGGTCGATCAGCAGTCGGTAGGAAGTCAACGAGCACAGGCCGGGATCAATGACGCAAGGACCACCCGGATTGCCAAGCTCGTCGCCATCGCTTCATTCTATAATTTATCCTTGCTTCGAGGAGTCTCCCCGAAAATCTACGTCTATGATGTGCAGGACCAGCTGGGCAAAGGGAGGCAACTTGGGAAAGCCAAGACCCCAGTAAGCTCATTAATACCAATGTTCTAACTCTCAAGGCCAGTATACCAAGTTCAGGCAGCCTCCGCGTCTGCCAACAGCATCCAGCGACGGTCGGGACACTCTGCCGGCCCAAGGAGATACCTTCTTACGGCTGTATGGGATTTACGGTTAATGGGCTTTAAGGTTAGGGAAGTCTAGGGTCTTAGGGTTTTGAAGTGTAGATCTTTCGGGGGGGGGGGGGGGG